AACACACTGACACTTCTTCCCACGAAGACGCAGCCTGAGCTCGTCCAGAGGGACTCTGAAGGCACAGGTGACTCCATGGCCATCAACAAGGATTTTTGTCAGGATAAAACCAGCTCTCACTAATTCCACAGTCCATCAGGTAACCCAGAGTCCACCCAGGGGTTTTAGGTGACACCCAAGTGCCAGTGACAACCCGTGACCATCATGGCTATCAGGACTTTTCCCACGAGCACAGTCCATATTCCCATTTCCTCGAGCTAGAGATGATTATGGACACGAGCCTGCAAAGAACCTTTTGCCACAACTGCTCTATTCCTTCCTTCCCAGTCAGATGGTGGGATATTTTTTTTGAGTGCCCCTCCTGCAAATTGCCAGGAATAACTGTTGCCTCCCCCCCAATGGAGCTCCAGCCCTGGGAAAACAGCCCTGCAGGTTCCTCTGAGTTGACAGCAGGTCTTGCCAACTTCAAAGGGGACTCGAGGCTTTTAGTGAGGGCTGTTTGTTGATTTTTTCCCCAGTGAAGTGATATTACATGGCATTTCCAACCCTCAATCCTATTAAGAGACAGAACTACCTAATAGCGCTCATTAAACAACATAACTTGGTGTCAGGAATTCACTGACAGGCCCCTGCGATTGAAGTGGGGGATTTATGCCCTCAAACAATATGAGTTTGGTGTTATTGTGACTGGGTTGTTTTAATAAATGTCATTTATTTTAACAGGTGAAAGCAAAAAAAAGCCAGGACAGTTCACGAGCAGGTTATCACTGATGCCATAACTGAGCGGTGAGTGCCTGAATTTTACATTTAGAGGGAAGAAAGCACTACAAGCATGTTCATTGCTGCTCAACTGCTTCATTATTTGGAGATCATTTCTTTGGTGGCACCACCAAAGGAGCAAAAAGGGGTCTACACCAGAGTCTCAAACATTTCTTTGGTGACACCACCAAAGGAGAAAAAAGGGATCTACATCTCAACAAGCAGTGACAGTGACACATCTGAGGGGCAGCTAAACCCCAGAGGCTGGTTTGTCCCTCAGCCATGGTCTCATCCTTCCCTTCCCAGAGCTGCTCCAGCCCATGCAGGGCACTGATCCAACTCATCACACTGGTGGGAATCCAACCAGGAGGGAATAATAACCCCCTGGGCTCAGGTGAGCCCCAGGGCTGATGGGAAGCAGGGTATGCGCTGCACCCTGAGGAAGCAGGGAATTGCAGAGTTCCTGAGGATGGAAAGGAGCAGCCAAAACCTCTCACTCCCATCCCACTTCCCCATGGAAACCATGGAAGGCACCTGGGACAGACGGTCACATTTTCTGTCGTGGTAACAAGGCTGTCAGTGGGGGTGTCCACAACAGGTTCAAACTGAAGAATGCCATGGAGGAGGAGCCAGGACCTGGCAAAGGACTGTCTCCACACATCCTGCGTGGCAACAGGAGCAGTTTGGCACAGCCAAGCCCATCCCAGGTAAGCACAGGAGCAGAGCTGAGCTGCTCCAGCAGCTCCAGGCTGCCCAAAGGTCCATCCCACAGCCCCCTCTCTCCTCTCTTCCAACAGCACTTCCCATCACACAGCCCAGTTTTACCTTTTCCCAGCCCTTCACTGAGCACGCTGAACCTCCACAAATCTTCATTTCCAGGAGTCCAAGTGCCAGAGCAGCACAGGGGACACGGTGGGGGGTGAAGGAGAGGAACCTTCCAGAATCACGGAATAATTCAGGTATAAAGGGACCTCTGGAGGTCCCATCAAGTTCAGGACAGTGACTCCCTGCCTTGGCTCTGCTGGCTCAGGCAGAGCAGGCAAACCAGCCTTCTGGCCCTGGCATCAAAACCCCAACTCTCACAACTGCCCAGTGACATTTGATATTTTTTTATGGAAAGTGAATGCTGTTGCAAAAACGACTTCTTTTTGTACCCTAAAGGAATGAAAATAAGAAAATCTTCCTGGAAATGACAATTAGCAGTTAAATCCCTGACTATAACATTTTGACTAAAGGCAGAATGCTCCAAGGAATAACAAAACAATGCAGTGAATATTTGGGCAGCAGGAAGAGTTTGGAGATGTTTATTTACCATATAGTTGTTCCTACTAGACAGAAAGGTTCCTAAAATCCCATATAAAGAGCTCTGATTATTAATAGTCATGAAATGATGTTTCCAACCTGTTTGTAAATGGTTTAAAGGAAATCACAAATGCATAAAAAACAAACCCAAGTTTACAGTAAAACGGCAGAGAGCTAAATTGGTTATTCCAGTAAGCAATATGTTCTGTGGAACTGAGCTGAGGACATCTGCCATCATTTTACCTGGAAAGAAAATCAAAGTGGGAAGGGGAGGAAAGATTTTTAGCCTTCCATTTTTATTTTTTTTTTTTGCAAAAGCCAAACAAAAAGGGCAAAACACATATATTGTATTACCCTGTTGTACATATGGACAAGTAGTTTCAGCAACGCACACGATGATTTCACGGCGTGCTTTGAAAAGTTTCAATAATGGCTTGGGAAATATGGGAAAGTAATTTATAACACCAATAAAAAAGTAATAGAGGGCCCAATCCTGTCCCCACGAACTTAAACCAGGCAGAGTGGAGCTTCCAGGATGGATTTAGAACCTTTTTCAACAGCCTAGTTCAGATATGAGCAAAGCCCAGCCTGGCTGGCTCCCACCACAGCACACTTGCTCAATTAGTCTCCCCTTCGTTATAATTTAAAATAAAAATATTATCCATGTGTTGAGCATTTGTCTGTTTGGATGCTGTTTGCCTTTTCTGTGTCATCCTGACAGCTCTGAGCCCTCTGGCCATCCAGAGGTGCAGCCCAGGCAGACACACCAAGGCAGAGCCTCCCACCCTCACCAGCAGCTCGGAAACCACCAGGGTTTGGTGAACTCCTGATTTTCTGCATAATTCTGCCACAAAACCAGGGTCTCCTCCACAGTCAGAGGGCAATTCTGGAAATGCAAAGGGAGTTAAGTTTCCAGAGACCTTTGTGAGCTGTGAGAAGCATGTTCCCTTTGTTTGCACAGTGAGAAAGATGCCGAGGATGAATATCTGGACTGAAGGCAGATGTTGGGGGCCCAGCCACCCTCCCCACCAGTAACATCTGAAGATGGGACATTGCCCAAGGTGAACCTGCCCCAGAGAGCCCTTCCTTTCCTCACCCCATCACCATTGCAGCTTGAGGTGCTGCTGGAAACACCAAACCTCTGCATGTGGCACATGAGATCCCAACCATCATCCTGCAAACCTGCTGTGTGTTCCCAAGATGCTGCTAATTAGTCCAAGATTCTGGTGCAATTTATTTAAAAAGAATAAAAATCCAAACCAAACCAAAAGCAAACAAATAATCAGCTACTCTTTGTCATGGAATCTCCCCGGCCCAGTCTGTACCAGGACACACATCCTCTGGATTCTCTGGGACACACCCAGCATGCTCAGATCCAACCACACCATGTCATGCACCGGGGAGGTCAGTGCAGGAAATACAAGGGCAGTGATCCAGGGTTCTCATTCACCCTCTGCTTGTCTCACGGCATTCCCAGGAGAATTTCTGCAGCAAGTGTCTAAAATATTTTCATTTCTGTCAACTGATGCCACTTTTGAACTGAGAACTCAAAGCCATACAAAGACAGGAGGAGTCCCCTGGCCTTCCTCCCCCAGAGCCAACTTCCCCCTCACCACCAATATGTAAAACTCTACAGTTCAGCCCAAATAAACCACAGCCTCTAAAACACCAAGTGGTTCCTTCTGATCTCCTAGTTCAGGTTTAAATGTAGTGCTGGCTCCAAGCTCAGTTCTACTGCCAGTGCCTCTATCAGTTCCTGGCAGTTCTTCACATTTCCAGGACAGCTCATCAAGTTAATCCAGTTTTGTCTCTTCCTTCCATTTTGGTGTTACCCACAAACAATAAAACTTTTCCTATTCAATTCTCTTGCTGCTCTTGAAGGGCTGAAACAACGTGGTGAAAAGGTTCCACCACGGTACAGTTGGATTCCAGGAGGAAACTATTATTATTCCTTGTGCTTTTTATGACCTTGCTGCCATTTCCTAGCCATAAGCTGGAAATGTTAAATTATAAAAAATACAATATTAATCAACCAATTGAGTTGCCAGTTCTAATTTTGGATAGAAAACTGGACAGAGAAATAATCAAAGACTCACCAAAAAAGCAGATGGCTGGAGAGCACTTCTGGCACTCACACGACTCACACATGGGACCACTCGAGTTTAACAAATTGGACAACAGAGAGAGCACTGAAATGGAAATTGGGGCTCTGCTCCACTCAAATTCTTCAGAATGTTTGTTTTGGATTTGTACCTCTCTGCAATTTACAGCTCCAGATTAGATACAGCAAGAGCAATATTCCTGACTAGGAGGAAAACAGAGTGACCAAATCACACACACACATCGTCTCCCTGTGTACAAACAACACCAACACAGAAATGGTTTCCTAAATAAAGCCCAGTACTAAACATGGCTTTTCCTAACGCGGCAATAAAGTTGCACAAGACATTTCCGTGAGTCAAACTGCAAAACTTCTCCAAGCAAAGCCCATCTTGGCATGGGAACAGCATGGAAAAGAAACCAGAGCAACCTGAGATGTCCCAGTGATCTCCAGGCAGCAGAGACCTCCCACTGCAAGTGAGAATCCACCCCCAGACACACTGTTAATGAATTAAATGGAATTTGTTTCTACCATTAACCAGTTTTGAGACCACTGGGCACAGGTCAATACTTCTTATTTGATCAGGAAGGTAAAAAAAAAAATCACTAAACCAATGTCAGCTGTATCAATACAAAGACACACAGGTAGGAGATGGCACCAAAAAAAGAAGAAAAAAGACTGATTCTGTTCTGTAAGAACTCAGTTGCCTCAGTGTTCAACAGGGTGAAGGTCCTTCTCAGTGAGGTGCCAGGGAAATGTGGGGCCAAATATGACATCACCCACCCCAACCAAAAAGTGAAGATGAAAGTTGTGCTGGTCTCGGGGACCAGTCACTCACCAGGGAGCCGCTGGTTTTCTGGGCACGCCTTCCCGGAGGATCCAAAAATAACACTTTTCCATGGAGCAGAGATTCCTGTAGTGCTCCTGCTTTTCCTTCCAGCAGTGTTGCAATCCAGCGTGCCAGCCCTGGGTGATGAGGTCATCTGACAGTGTAATTTGTAGTATTTTACTCTGTCAAAACTGATCTTCGGATTTCTATGGCAACGAGATCCAAACAAAAGATGGAGCAGACGGAATGAGTCTCTCCCTGCCACCACCCAGATTTTTATATAAATATATATGTATATATATAAAGCATTACACATATATATATAAAGTTAACGTTCATGATTCATCATTAAATTATGTTAGAAAACTGGCACTGGAGAAATAATAGCACAGAGGGATAATATTAAACAAAAAAAAGGGTAATAAATGTGTAAACTGACATCAATAAAAGATTAAAAAAAGGTAATTGTTCAACTCTCAAGCACCTGGAAACAGAGTATGTCTTTCCCATTAAATCCAGGAAAGGCATATCCTAACCATTCCTGGTCGGGATGGAGGGAAGGGAATACTGGCTCTGCTGCCATGAGGTGAAGAACATGATACCTTCCCCCTTGAGAAAATCAGCCTTCAACTACTGCTGGTAACATGTTCCTGCTTAGGAGAGCCTAACTGCTACTAAGCTTGGCTTTAGGAGTTCTTATGCAACAGTCTTGCACATCTGTCAATTTATTTTAGTGTCCTGGTAGGAGCTGAGCTGGGTCCAGACACTGTGAACACAAAACATCCAGGGACACTCTGGATGTGGAACCCAATCCCATTTCCAGTCAGCTCCTGGGACTGACAGCAACACCACCCAGTCCCTGTCTTTGAAACCAAGACTGGGCTGTTCAAAAGGTGGGATAAAAAGCTTGATTTTCCTACAGATCACTTCTCCTTAACGTCAGAGAGGCTTCTGAGCACTTCCCAGGAGAGCTCAGTGAGGTCCTGAACACACTGTCTAACATTCCATGCAAATCCCAGAATAGCCAGACGGGTCTAACTTGGGCTTTAAGGAGAGGATGAACCTCTCCTAACCCGTGGCAAGTCCCTGCCTCCACAAATCTGCACAGTGTCCAAGAACAATTTCCTGCCTCCTGTGCAGTGTCACTGTACAGCCCCCAGGATAAAAACATGGGATAGCTTTGGGCACATCCCTGAAGTGGGTGGGAGGGAATTCCTGAGAGCTGGGAAGAGGGTGGTACAGGGTGATACACTCACTGTTGTTGTGCTGGATCCCTGCAGGTCCAGCTGTGGGTTTGCTGCTGGTTGCCATCCATGGAGGCCACCATGTGCCTGCTTCCCAAGCATCCTGGATCAGCCATGGGACGGGATTGTGGCTGGAATTCATCCTCAAAGCCAACTGCTACTGCCTGTTAAGAAAAAGAGAGAATGTTAAGTTAGAGAAATACTGGTCATTCAAATTAAAAAACCCTCTCAAAAGCAGGATACTTCTTTGATCACAAGCTCTCCTGCTGGAAAACAGAATTTCCCCATCAGTTTATGTACGATGACAAAAAATTCCTGGTGAACCCAGGAATAAAATGGTGTGCAGGTACAATTGGAAGCACGGGAATGTTTCCACAGCTTACTCACCCTCCTAAAATTAAACACACTCGAGTCTCTCACCTGAGTAAAGACCCCGATGCCACAAAGAACATCCACTCTATGGGAATCCCTTGAGTAATGACAGTGAATTCAACCCTGGAGGAAGCTGAAATAGGGATTACACTGAATTCAGATGCTTCTGTAACAACTTCTGTCTATGGCTGGTCTTGTAATATTGGCATATCTTACAACTGACACGGACCTTGGTGTGTCCTCAGATGAACAGATTCATAAAACTGTACACAATGAGCTGCTACCACTTTTTAACTTCAAAAAAAAAAATCCTTGCTCTGTTGCTGCAGCAGGAGAGGCAAAATGCTTCTTTAGGCAAGTGTTTAAGAGGTACAAAACTAAATGAAACTGTGGATTTCTTCCTCATTATCACCAGTTTGTGACTGTCAGAGAAGATGTACCTTTTCCACGTGAAACCCCTCATCACCCCTTCCAATAAAGGCAATCAACACTGAACTTAAAAGTTCCTGTCTGCATCCAGTTTGCAGGCTTTGAAACGGAGCCCTGCACGAGGCACATCAGAAACACCGGAGGAAATTGGAGATAAAAAAAAAAAAGATTTTAAAATAAACCCAGCCTTTACGCCTCCCAGATGGGAAGTTTGGAGCGGCGAGGGCAGGAAACGGCCGGGTATTTAAGCTGATTACCCAAGCAAAGCCCTCTCTGCCTTTTCAGCAGCGCCATCGGAATTAATTGGAGTGCGGAGCAGGGGGAGATGTCAGGAGCGGGGGGAGATGTCAGGAGCGGTGCGGGGTGTTAGTGATGGCTGGCTGGAGAGGGTTGGGGCTGTTAATTGGGGTTCAGGCCCTGCTGGCTCTCCCAGCCCAGGTGGCCGCTCAGCGCCCGCTCGGCTGCGCCGGGACGGGGCACGGGCCCGAACATCCCCCCGGCTCGCCCAGCCCAGCAACCCGGGAACCAGCCGGGATCTTAACGTTTGTCCCGGGAATTCACACCAGTAGAAGTGTTCTGGGCCGCGCTGCCCTCGTGGACACGGATCTGATGGTGCTTTTGGCCTCATTACCGGGGCTCTGCTCTCAGGGGTGTTCCCATCCACGCAAAAATCACAGCTCCCCACTCACCCTTGCACCCAACCGAGGAGACAAATAATATTATCATAGAGGGAAGAGCCAGAATTAGAAAGGAAATACTGCAACGTTTAGATTTAATCTGGTGAACGTTGGATCCTGATTCGCTCTGACGTTAAAGCTCAAGAGCACGGTTAGCCAGGGCAAAATGCATTACTGTGTTTTACATGAGAAGGAAATAAGTCTGATGTTTCACGGGCTGCATTATTTGCTGTTGAAATCCTAATGACTGCCCACAATCTACACCTACACTGAGCCTAATGAATTGGGTTTAAATTTCACAAAGCTTCAGCAACAAATTAGTTGATCGTCCTTGCTTCTGGCTCTCCAACAAAGAGGAGTTTTGTAGTAGAAAAGAAGAGAAAACTGACAATAAATTAAAAAAGAAAGATGTTTCAAATGGAACACTTCGTTTCTCTTCACTGCATTTCACGGTACTATTTTTAAAATAAGCATCTTTTTTTAAAAAAATATTTTTTAACAGGTAAATGCTCAAACACCATAAGCAGGATTGGTATCACTGGTTTTCAAGATCCACAGTTAATTAGCCACAGGCAAATATGGAGCAAGGCTTCTCAAAGGCTTTCACCTGCTCAAGTGTCAGGAAGTTCTAATTTGCCAAATAAAACACTGAATTGATGCTCCACATGAAACAGAGGCTGAATCAACACGAGTTCTACAAGTGCCTTAATCCAGCCTTCTGCTTTCTTCTCACTCACATCCACAAGGTGCCATCGCTTCCCTCCCACCACCTCCTGCTTTTTGATGGCCACAGGAATTAAACCCCTGCAGCCTCCTCCCTGGTGATTCTCTCTCCCATCAGCTGGCAAAGTGGGTCCCTTGGGATGGCAGTGCAGCCCCTCCCTGGGTTACACCCCTGGAATGGCAGGTTCCACACAGACCCTCCCATGGAACACATCCAGGGATGTGTTTTCCAGGCATGGCTCTCCATCAGCATTCCCAGTGCTCTCCCAACAGGACAGAGCACACTCCATTTCACACACTCATGGAATAGTTTGGGTTGGAAGGGACCTTTAAAAGGCCACCCAGTCCCATCCCCCTGCCATGGGTAGGGACACCTTCCACCAGACCCCATCCAACAATCCCCATCCAACCCGGCCTTGGACACTTCCAGGGATGGGGCAGCCACAGCTTCTCTGGGCACCCTGTCCCAGTATTTTACCACCCCCAGAGTAAAAGCTTCCTTCTGATAATTAACCTAAGAACTGCACCTCTGTGCAACTCATAGGAGGAATTTAGAGTTGAGATGGGAGGCACAACGTGTGGCTGTGCCTTCCTCAGCTCAGGGCATCCCAATAAACCCCCACGACAGGGTTTCCAGCTTAACTTGGGTTTTACTTGGACTTGTGTTCACCTAAACACATTTCCTTCACGCAGCAACAGGAATGAATGCATCTAAAAAGAAACCAGACACATAAAACAAGCTGCTAACTCCTCCTCACATGTGCACACACGATGCCAATTCCCAGAAGCTGCTGACTCCATGAATTCAGTTCTACAAACCCAACAGAGGCTTGCAGGGTCTGTAACTATCTGCAATTTCAAGGCAGAGAAATGTTATGTAAACTCCAATTTTGCAACATTATTGCTGTGTGTTATTTCATGCCAAGTCGCTCTTTACATGGAAAGCAAACATCGTTCAATTTGGTTGTTTTTTTTAAAAAAGCAAAATAAAGTTTACAGTTCTGCTTGGCCTCACATCTGTTTATAAACAGGGGAGCAGCCTGAGCCTCCTCACAATGGGGATGGCAGGAAAAAACCCTCCTCAAGCCGAACAGGAGCCAACAGTGTGTTCTCAGCAAGAGAGGGGCTCCATCTGAGCGTGGCCCTGGGGTCTGGGGGGGAGATGGGGATTTAACACCAGGTTATCTAAGAGCAGACAGCAGTAATTCCCTTACTTGAAGGGAAATTATAGTGATGACAGACCCAAACTTCTCGTTTGAGACAGAGAGAAGAAGGGCAATGTCACAGACTGTGTCTTGGCAGGCTCAGAGCAGAGATCAGGAGAAGCTTTTCCAGCAGGAAGGTGGTGCAGCCCCAGGACAGGTCCCACAGAGGCAGAAGGCTGCAGTTCCTGGAGGTGTTTCGTGCCAAACATTTGACATTTTGGCACTTTCAGTGACAAAGTACGTCGGGAAAAAGTTCTTGACAAGGCATTGGAGGAACCACAGATGTTTGGCCCTTCTCAAAAGCATCTGTTCATCTTTTTTAAACACCCAAACATCTTTAAAACCCATAAACTGCCTAATTACTATGGCTCCACACTCCGTATCCCTGGAATATCAGACCGTTTTCAGGTTCCATTCCCTTATTCTGGCAGGTTATTCCCTATGGATGCAGACTTAGGAGGAGAAGTGCAGGATCTGTTCTTGTAACTTCCATCACAAGAGCAAACTCCACATATTTGAAAAGATTATCAGTCAACTACAGTTCTTTCCACTGCAGAAACAGTAACTCAGTTAAGATAAACAAAGAAATTCCCATGCACTGAAAAGGAAAACCTATTAACTGATTAAACATGTGAATCAGTTGATAAACTGGTTATCAAAGTTCTGAAAACATTTTTAACAATGACCCTTCCTGCCATGTTTAACAATGACCCATAAAAGCTAGAATAATTCAGGTCTTTGCAGGAAACCAGCTGGAGAGAAAACAGAAAGGATTTCTGACCCAAGAAGCTGCAGCTACACCATCTGAGCTGACAAATTTAGACACTAATTCTGAGGAAAGTAGTGACAGACGTTTTAAATAGCAATTAAAAGTTTTGAACAAGGTTTTTTTTCAAAGGTTTCTAACTCTTTTCAGCACACAGAAAAAACTGCCAGCTTTATCCCATCTGATGGATGTTTGCAGCTCAGGCTTTTCAGGTAAAAACCCCAAACACTCCTTAATTTTCAGGACAAGTTGAAGATCTGGAAGCAGAATAGGAATGCAAATCTCTGGGTTTTATTTACAGCTGGTCATGCAGATCCCATCTCAGCAAAAACTCCACCTCAAAACTATTTGCAGTCATGCAAAAGCAGAACGTGGCACAGACTAACAACCAGATTTCACTTGATGGAGAATCTGATTTTCCTCCTTAGGACAGTTAGAAAAACAAGTGAGTGGAAAAAACTGACAGAGCTGGTCCTTGGGATGGTTGAAAACTCCTTTTAGACAAGTCCAGAGCCACAGAAGAGCTCAGAGCAAGCAAAAATTTGGGTGCCAGATGAAGGTCCAACATCCCAACTGTTCACATGTAAAGCATGGACAGGACCTGCTGTATTTAAACAAAGTGCCAGCCATGAACTCCAGGTGGAGATTTACATTTTCCCAAAATTCAGAGAGATATTCAGACCTGAGACACTTTTCAGACCATTCTACACCAGTGCCTGACATCAGTTCCCCTTCCTCATAATCTTTGTATCAGCCACATTAACTAAAATATATCCAATTCCAACCCCTGCACGGCTTCATGGCAGGGAAATTGTTCACAGCTTTCTTTTTCTTGATCAGAAAAGTCTGTCTGGATAAAAGGCAACATCACAAGTCAGAGAAATCTCGGAATTCAAGATATTTCCACCAGGGTCTTGGGCACCAAGTTAGCCAAGATTTTGACAGAAAACTTTTCAATCAATTAAGGAGTTTTTAAGAAGTTGTAGCAAAAG